CATACTGGCCGACAATCTCACCGCTTATCGGTGTTTTATTATATACACAAAGCCGTATAGGACGAGAAGACGGAAGATAAAGGGATATACAAACACCATTTTGTATACATAGTCCACAAACAGAGGCGACACTAAAAGCTTTCTTGTTCCGGGGGCGTGTTGTATTAATCACTGTTCGGGTCTTTGGTTTTATCTATCTATCTATAGATATAACAGGGTGTTATAATTCCCGAGAGAGAGAGAGAGAGAGAGAGAGATCAGAGGAGGATGACAAGACTAATCCTAGGCAGTTGGAGCCTTTATTATAGAGACAGATTAAAGCATCTGAATTTTAACTCCCTCGAGAGACGTCAGAGTGAGGGGCGATATGATCGAGGTGTGTAAATAGAAGTCAGGGCTAAACAAAGGTGCCACAAGTTTAAATACAAAAAAATCTTACAAACAAAACACATACATTATTTAACACCTATAGATAAAAACACATACATACAAAATAGGAAATATTTGAATCGTTGCAGCAAACTAATAATATTTTAATACAAAGAAACTCTAAACCTTGGGCCGTGTTGCAAGTCATGTCAAATTCGCGAGAACAAAAAAAAAACATTGCAGGGAAAGGCCACCAACAGAGCTTCCTGACCGAAAACCATCAAACTACGCCACTATTTCCATTAAACTCCTCCTGAATTAGAGGTGCAGATATGACTCCCCCTTCATTGTGGTTTTACCCTCGTCAATCTGTTCAGCCGCCAGTAGGTATGGAGGAGAAAAAATGGCAATGCAAAACCAAAACAAAATAGAAAAATAAAATCTTTTGTAAGTTTCTTTTCTTTTGGCATTCAGCTGATTTGATCTACTTTCATCAATGTCTGTCTGTATCAAATGATCTTATACACTACAGTGAATTAAGAAACATGAGAGTTAAGATATAAATAAAAATATAATTAATAAGATAAACACTCTCTAATATATACATCAAACAGTGAGACCAGTACTTAACAAATCGTCTTGTTTATTTCACCGAGACAGTTTCGGGTCGCTTAGCATTACGCAAACTATAAAACAAATCCTCGCATGGCATAAGAACTCAGTTGTACAGTATACATACATCCTACATCAGGGGTTCTCAACCAGGGGGGAATTTCCCCCCTCAGGTTTTCAGGGGGGGGGGGGGAACTGATTCTAATATGGAAAAAATAAAGGATTTTCAGTATTATATGCATATTATTTGGAATGCACTTTTTGAGGCAGACAATCTTGGAAAGGAGGGGGGAATGACATCCTGACATATGGTGAAAGGAGTGCATGGGGCAAACAAGGTTGAGAACCACTGGCCTACATGCTTACATACATGTTCAATTGGCTCCCGATATTCACCAAGGATAACGGATATTATTTTTGGTTCATCGTGGCTAATGTAAGGTAACGTCACTATTACCGGCGGCCGTGTACACAGCTTAACTTGGTGGGGGCAGTGCTTCATGATACAACTGGACAAATATTAAAATATCGGAAGAAAAAAATGATGAAATGAAATGAAATCGACGCCATGCAGTGAGTGACCATTGTTTCTCACGGTAAAACTAGTCAAGAAAATATACATAAACCGTTATATAGATTCTTCACAGGGTAGCATTGTTTTCGACAGCTGCCACAAGATATCTAGTGTTCCCTGGTAGCTGTCAATGGACCTTTGGAAATTTGTTTCTTATTGTCGCACGAGTCAGCTGTCCGAAGCTCTCCGGAACTCCTCATATAAAGAGTTTGAGTTCTGTCACGTCCTCGACTCACTGAAACTCTTGAAGGGTTAGCTGAACCCAAGGGTCAGTAAGAGTGAGTCACAGCGAGCGTGAATATTGAATCACTTAGTAGAATGTGTCAGCGCTTTATTTAGTAAATGATATTGAGATAGGTGCTTGCAGGAGACAACCCTCGTAATTATTAGTCAGATTTCAATAACATATTCGTGTCAGTTGGTAAAATAAGTACGATTTCAAATAGAAAATTCCAGTTATTCCACCCCAATTCAGAAACTTCTGAAAGAGCTCTTAAGTGAGTAAATTACCGTAACAAATTCCCGGGAAAAGAATCATTACAGACTTTAAAAAAATAAGACATGAAAATAAATAAATAAATAAACAAATAAATAAATAAATAAATAAATAAATAAATAAAAAAAAAATATATATATATATATATATATATATATATATATATATATATATATATATATATATATATATATATATATAATATATAATAAAATCAAATCTATCTACACATGAGAAAAAGATTCATGGGAAAGGTGACCTATTAAAACGTCAGTTAGTGAAATAAAACTGTGGTTTTCATGAGTTCACTAAACCCGTACAAGGTGCTTTAGTGTACCAGTCCAATTTAGGAATGTGTAGGCCCTCTCTTTCATATATACCAACCATTAATATATCCCCGACTATATAAAATATCCTGTGGAAAATTTGTTTAAATGCATTTCATTTCGTACCAGAGAAAACATGCAATTTGGAAACCCCGAAGCTCAGTCCTTTTTCTTGTCTCAATAAATATGCGTTTCCTGGCTTCCCTGGGCAAGATTAATGGCCGGCCAACTCAAAACACTTAATTGAAACTCGTATCTTTACCGCCAAGTTACCTGGTAGTGGTCGTGGTCAGTTGTCATAAGTGCGTCATAAGGTGTTTATCGGCTTGGTGCCTGACGCTGACACAACACATTTCTCTTTAACTGACAAGTAATGAAAGGTTAGGAAAAGCATGCTGTTCATATTGTTATTACTAGTACTACTACAACTATTGCTACTATTACTACAGCTACTTTACTACTATTGCTCCTGCTACAATTACTACGACTACTGCTACCACTTTTAACGATTACAACTACTGTTGCTACAAATACTACACCTATTGATACAGCCACTACTATCACGGCAACAAAGACTACTACTACTACTACTTCCACTATTGTAATTGTCGTGCATGTCATTACAGGCAACATCGAGTAAGTCTCAACGAACATATCTTTATTCCCTTCATCAGTGAGGTGGCAAGAATGTTGTGATGGAAATGAATGTCTGTCAGTCAGTCTAAGACAGCCGGAGGTGAGTAAACCAGTGGAAAGTTGAGGATTTCCTGTAGGACTGACGTTGGCTGGTTGTTGGAAGTTAGACCCGAGGTCAAGATATGTCAGATCTAGTGACACATTTCACCAGTGGTCTTTCTATCAAAGCGGGAATTGCTTCAAAGTGAGGCTGGTCCTTTTTATGTAACTAAAAGTGGTTCCTGCAGGCATGACGGCACGTAAGCTGATGTGTGTGTGTGTTCAGGCAGTACGTGGAAAGTAGAGCATACAGGAATATAGATAGATGTGTGAACTCTCTCTCTCTCTCTCTCTCTCTCGTGAACCTCGTCTAGGGACCAGGAGTTTCACCATCGTGCAACGGTGTTAATTTAAACCCGAATGTGTTTGTTTTTTCCTGAATGGAAGTCTGGTATGTAAGGACACTGCCGCAATTGAACCCCCCTTCCACCTTCCCTCCCCTTCCACCTTCCCTCCCCTTCCACCTCCCCTCCCCTTACCCCCTATCCTCGCCCACCACCATAGCTTTTAGCTCGTTTTCTCTTTGTTTTCAGTAAAATTTGTAAACTTGAAAACTAATTTTAGAGAAATATTGAGGTTTTGAGGGGTTACCACAAGTAACTTACACCAGCTCCCGAGGTTGTGTAACACTCTCAACCCGGATGTAGTTGTGACTAATTCCCGATTGTATAGAAAATAATAATAATATATGTTGTAATAATGTTTGTTAGACTTGTTTTATCATAGAATAAAGAAGAAAATGTTTTGTACATCAACATACTGAAATATAATATTTCACTTTGTCTTTTTCGTAACTTTTTTGTTGTATAATAAGCGGCTTGAGTGTTTGTGTTTGTCTCAGTTTGGAAGAGACGCATCTTTTGTCTTCTTACACATTATAAAGTATTTCTTACCAAAATAGAAGGTTTGTATTGTTCACACTTAGGGTAAAAATATGTTTTATGACTGAGTAAACTTGCAGATAGAACTTATTAATGTTGTATAGCCGTAAATATCCCTCAGCAATGAAAGCCAAATATGAGGTCAAGTGAACATTCCTGCCAAGACTTCGCCTTGTTTTTCTAATATTCAACCAATAGCCTTAGCCTATTTTCTTATGTATATAGAGTATGATAACATGAAAGGCTATAAATTTCCATAGGCTAGCCAAAATTAAATGATATTAGGTGTAAAATATGGATTGCAATTAACTTGATTAATAGGGGCCTATATAACTGCTTTTTCAGTCTTAGGCAAATAAATGTTTAAACATGGGGCCTACTTAGTTTAGTTAGAACATGAGGATTATTTAAATAAGAAATTATACTAATAGGGTATAGGTTAGATAGATAGGTTTGGTTATGTTATGTTATGGTATGTTAGGTTAGGTTAGAGAGTGTGTAATGGTTTTTTGGTGAGCGTCAGGCCGTCAGTGAGACACTTTGTCTAGCAGCTACCTTAGGCCTAGTTCCAGACTTTCCTTGAACATTATCATAGGTAGAGTATTAATTTAAGAAAATTTACGGCTAATCCGATATATTTTCAGGTTTTAAATTGTTGTTTCTTGTATGAACTTGAAGACAATTCAGACCAAATGTTCCCAACATTGAAAGGAAAACACCAGGGTCTAGGCTAAATGAGTAATTTAAGAGAAGTGATTTGTCATTTAGGTTAGGCAAGGCTATGCTATCAATAACCAATTTATTTGAATTTGCCCAGAATAAGGCTATCTTAGTATAGCTTATGTGTCTTGTCACAGGCCAACATTATGCAAGGGATTATTTACCTAAATTCTAGTGGGGTAAAACACCTATTACTGTGAGATCTCTGTTAGCCGGAACAATTGGTGAAGAGCACTACCGTGAATGAATGAGTGTTTTCCCGTTAACGAGACAGTTATCACAAATCAAGAAAATATCCCTCATCCCCAGAATGTTTATGGTAATGGAAAAATTTTCTCGGTAGTTCCTGCAATTGCCCATTACATCATCTCTCGAACCCAGAAATATATCCCCCATCTCCGGAATTTTCTCGGTTATCTGGGAAACTTTCCTCATAGTTTTCAGGAAAATGTGCCTCTCTGAAAGTCATTTACCTAAGCCGTAAGTTTCCTGCAAAATCATGCTTTGGGAATTAATTTTAGATAAAATTTCAATTACGGCTTTCAGAAAGTTCTGGGTTTCAAGGAATCCGGCTAACGGAGAAGGCTGCTGTTCCTACCAGAAATCAGTTTCAAATGCGAGTATGTGACAGACAAGAGGCAAGAGGATGTCTTTTAAATGCTTTTAACACCCTTATTTACTTTCATAATGAACAATTTCTTTCAATTTTAAATGAATAAAGAGATTTTAACACGTGCATTTTTCAGTATTTTACCCCTAAGAGCCAGGCAAAACCTTAAGGCCATAATTTTTGTTTTTCACAGGCATAACCCTTCTATTCTAGGCCTAATGATAAAACTTTGAATAAGTTAGTATCAACATAAAAACAATACTGTAACAAACTTCTAAGCCATTGCATAATTTTTTGTCCTGCAGATTGATCCTGTAACACTTGGACCTCATTTTCCAGTTACCCTGCAATGGAACTTGTTGTAGCTTATCTGCATGATCGAGCTTTACGACGTGAACGAAGGTATCGGGACCCTTTGGATCCCATAAATATAAGCGATGAAAATCTAATTAGATATTATAGGTTTCCTCGATGTGAAATTCTAAGACTGTGTGAAGAGTTAGATCCATTTTTAAGGCGTAGAACGAGAAGATCTCATGCTGTTCCCATACACACGCAAGTGTTAGTTGCTTTAAGATTTTACGCCAGTGGAACCTTTCAACATGTACTTGGTGATACAGTTGGTCTTACCCAAGCTAGTGTCAGTAGAATTATTAGAGATGTGACCCAAATTCTCACAGAAAGGGCAAGATTTGAAATAAAGATGCCAACAGGTAATGTACAAATAGCAAGAACTGTGCAAGGTTTTGCCAGAATAAGAAACCTTCCAAGAGTCATTGGTGCAATTGATGGAACACACATACCCATAAAAGCCCCAATTGAAAATGAAGGAACATATGTAAACAGGAAGCGATACCACTCTCAATGTACAAGTAGTATGTAATGCCGATGGGTTGATCACAAACTACAGCACCAAGTATCCAGGTTGTAAACATGACGCCTTCATCTGGGCCAACTGCTTACTTCGCCGTCGCTTTGAGGCTGGTGATTTTGGTGATAATTATTTGATTGGTAAGTTTAAATGGCACGGTTAAGATTTTTCCTATTTCAGCTAATCAATGTGACTAGGTGGAACATAGGCTCTAATGCTAGGAGGACCTTACTTAACTGCCCAGTACATGATAAATCATTCATTTGTTGAATTAAGGAACGGTACACTTTTACAGCTATGTTTAACCGTGCATATCGACTAAGTTTGACATCACTGACCTTATAAACCTATGCTGAACCTAATAACTTTCCCTAAACCAAGCTATGACACTTGACGGCACATACATAATTAGTGGCCCACACCTAATATCTTTATTTGTCTTACAGTTGGTTGTTGAAAAATGGTTAAAATATTTGTGCTATATTGCTATTTTTATATGGAAGCAAATACATTATGCCTCATTGTTTGGTAATGCAGCTATATAGTTTATATGTTTTTTGCTTATAGGTACAAGAGTGGGCTGAGGGATTAATTCCCCCAAGGGCATTGTAATTTTTTTTTATTATATTTCTTATTGAGCTGTACATTTATTTCTTTATTTTTTAATCACTCCTGTTATTCCAGGTGACAGTGGGTACCCATTAGAGGCATTCCTCATGACACCATTCAGAAACCCCTCAACCCCTGGAGAAGTTAGGTATAACAACAGCCATACCAAAACCCGCGTAGTTGTAGAGCAAACTTTTGGTGTCCTAAAATCACGATTTAGATGCCTTCACCGTTCTGGTGGATCACTTCAATACGATCCTTCCAAATGTGCCAAAATTGTAAATGCATGTTTCCTTCTTCACAATTATTGTTTAATGAGAAGGGTACCACTTCCCCACGACATGGTCGACGATGATGGAGAGATTGACAATCCAGCTGAAGCTGTAGCAGGGACAGGCCAAGCAGTCAGAGCCAATGTAGTCCGTAATTGGTTTACTTGATGAATTAAAATCAAATATCAATTCACCAATACATTTTTCCTCTATGTTTAAATAGTATTTTTTAGTGCAGTATACAGAGGTAATGCGAATAAAGCGTACATTGATTTAACTTTTATTTTCAATATACTGTACATAATAAAATAAACTTCTTTATAGAAATTAAATGCCTTTCTCTTACCTTAATAATATATGTACTATATCCTTGAACAAATTTGATTCCAATACAGTATACTTTTAATACTACTAAATACCAAAGGCACTAAAGTTTGTGAAACAAAAAAATCCTTACATAAAACATATTTGAGAAATTGAAACAATAAAAAAATATTGCTACTGTTTGCATCTTAAACTACACAATTTGACATGGGTCACCACATCGTTGTGAAATAATAATACAACTACTGTTATTTGTTGCCATTTTTTAGATTTAAGAATGGAATACAGTATAATTTTCATGTCTAGAATTACCTGCATCAATACCCGTAAATTAAAAGAAACTTATAACCCAATACTGTACTACTATAAGTAATAAAGAAAAAAATAGAATACTCTTTGCTTGTTAAGCTATAAAATGTAACATGAGACAGCACATCCTTATGAAAGAACCAATGCAACAACTTGCGCTTTGGAGACTAATGTGTGTTAAATAGCAGCGATTACAGTAGGCTGTTGGTGAATTTGCACCATTATTTCTGTTTCAACCTACTTGAATCATACTTCGCAAACTACAAACTAATAAATAAAACTCGTTGAACTGGAAATTGACTACGTCTTACAAAATAAAGGAACCTTTAAAAAATAAAAATAAGTACATGAGCCTCTTTTCAAACATATAATTTTGAGTGTGGTAGGAACTTTTACCCAAAACTTGGGTAAACATTACCCGTAGTAGCACTGCAACACATGTTATTAGTTGACAAATGTGTGTCTTTCACTTAACTTCATGATTTTAATGAACTTATGGAGAGCTAAATATTCCTGTTACATTTTCATGACTAGTATAGGCTGCAAGTGAAAGTTACACAATTTTTTAACATGCCGTCTTCCTTCATAACAATCACTCAAAGGAAAATTTATAATAAGTGTTTGATGACTTTTCAACTACGCTATTATCACATTTACCAAAAGTAAAGGACTTACCTAAGTAAACAACTACATATACACATACCATAAACACAGCATCATTGGATAGGATTTTTCGACTGCATAACTCTTGCAATGCATAGCATTGCAGATGCAATGCACTCGGTGTTCGCTACAAGCTGTAAAAAACTGTCCCTCATTTGTGTTTGAACACGAAGCATCTCTCGAAGAAGATCTTCATCTTTTCGGGCAGAAGAGGTTCGTGGCCTCCTGCCACTTCTGATCGTACTTGGCATTGGAGATGAACCCATTTCATCAGTGGAATCACCAGTTACAGTTGACCTAACAGCTGTGGCAGAAGGGGTACTAGACCTACTTCGCTGTTCCGTGGTAGCAGCAATAGGTTGACGAGTATTGCTTGAACTACATGTTTCTACCTCATATGTTCCGGATGATGAAATTCCAGGAATGTTTGTAGGTGCTGAAGTTTCAGGTTCTAAATGCACAATGGGTACTGTGATATCATGTTCCTGTATATCCTCATTCAGAATGAGGGTTATAGAATCATCTTTCTCTTGAACGGGCCGAAACATAAATTCCTCTCGGAAACAACTACCGGTAGCTGTAAACCTAGCTCCTGAGGGTCCGGGGGTTAGTTCTCTTTCTTCTTCTGGAAAGAAATGTAGTATAATAGGTTGATTGAAGTCTATGTTAAGAGTATAATTAAAATATTACACTGTATTTCCAAATATACAAAAGCTTTTAGGAAAAATAATGGTTTGAAAAATAGTGTTGACCATCTAAATATATTTGTTTAAAATATTTTTAAATCTAAATATCAACTAGGCGTTAAATTTCTTATATTTGCACTTCTCAATTTTGTCCATTAACATACGAGTTATAACAACATTTAATATATAACTTAGGGAAGCAATAAACAAGCTAGAAATGAAACCAACTTACTAGTGTTGTTATTTTTCAAAATTATATAAAAAAATCAGTATACTGTACAGTATTTCCAAATCAAGATGTGAAAAAATGTCTCCAAAAGTTTTTTTTAAATAAAAAGAAGGAAGAAAAGAACAAAATATATATCAGGGGGTTGGAAAAGTATTTTGACTGAATTACCATTAATAGGTTCTTCACTTTCAACATCCCCTGGAATCCTTGTATAGAGGCTGGATCTAATAGTTGAAGAATTGCTTCTTCAATTGCAGTGTATGTAATTTCAATTTGGGGGCCGCCACCTTGAAGAGAAAATATAAATAATAACTGTCTTACTGTGAGCTGTGGTTACATACACTATATGCTAACTATGTTATATTTGGCAGAAATCATAGTTACAAAGGAATCTACTGAAATAGTTCCAAACATTATAACCTAACCTATCATTGTAGCTGTAGCCACAAAAATTCTCCTTTATCTATGTCAAAAGTTAATTAGATTTAAGGTAACAAACAATAAATGGTAAAATAAGTCAAAAAAAATAGTCGCAGCCAGAAATTTTCAACCTGTATTAGTTGTAAACTCATAGGATAGAACATCCTTGCCTATAAGCCTAACAAAGTAAAATTTACATAATAATGTATATCAAATATGAATATAAATCTATTGATGAATGAAAATTAACGACATAAAAAAAGGAATTCTATGGCAACTTATACATTATGACCTTCATTACCGTCGGAAATAACGTAATTATTAATATGTAGTTTATAACAGTAACCAAACCTACCTAACCTAGCTTCCTTTACCAACGGGAGGCCTCCGCCGCCCTGCCACACAAACTCATATTAACTATCTCTGTTCCACGTCAGTTGCGACACAATGACAAGTGTGTCTTAAAATTGTGTAATCTAGATGATAGGTATAATAAGAAAATCCAAAAGTTGTGGGGAAATTATTAACAGTAGTACAGACTTCCCTGACTACCGCCTGGGAAGATATTGGAAGCATAATGTGTTGTCTAATGGTAGACCCTGCTGCCATATGGCATCACGAAAATTAGGAGCAAGTCTAAGGTTGCTGATCTGACTAAATGTGTCATTTACACACAATTGCAGGGTCGCAATTGTTTCTCGTAATATCGACAACACAACATACATACTGTATATTGATTCTCACTTTTTGTGTTTTCATTTCGGTATTTATGGTTATTTGTTATTAATATTATTATTTATAAAGAGGTATTTTTATTAATAGTACTAAAGAATTATTATTACAGGCCCCGAAGTGGGTCAGTGACTGTGCCTGGGTTGGTTAATCCACGTAAAAAGAAAAAAAAAATTTAGGTTGAACGGTAAAGTTTTTACTATTTACTCACACGGAAAACTTCGAAGAACGATATTTCTTTTAATGAATGTGTTCATATAAGGAAAATATGTGTATTCATTCACGATGGAGAGCCACCACACTACTTGCTTCCTTGAGTTTACAAACACGTAAAATCGTACCAAGCCTCAGAAAAACCATAGTTAAGTTTGTTTCATATTGTCAATCAATAACCACGCTAACAATATTATGACTTACCTGTTCCACCAGCATATTTCTTATCTTGTGCTGCTTTTTTCTTAACGCTAACACGAAGATCAGACTTCCACCGAATTTCAGTAACATTGCGGGTGACTCTACCAACAGCATTCACAGCATTTAACACTTCACCCCAGGCTGGTTTTTGAGTTGAAGTGTACAACTACTTGAGTCCAACTTCCCTAAAATCATTTCTTTTCGTTTGGCTACCTCAGTCACAAGAGCGTATACTTCAGCCTCACTGAAATTAGGCCGTCTCATCTTGGCTGGTGGTCCTTCCATGTTTACAAAATAATATTACGTGCGTCGCTCTCAGCTGATTTCTCCTTCTCTTGTGATTGGTTGATGATTTTGTTAACTGAGCGTTGATTGGCCAACTAGCATCTACACTGACATCTACCGTCCGACAAGAGAACTTAATTTACAGGGTAAACACAAGAGTTACGAGAACTTACGGAAGTCTTACGGAACCATAATTAAATTTTGAGTATGCTAAATTTATGGTACTGTAAGGCTTCCACAATATATGGTAGTGTATCATGCTGAAAAACGTAACTTATGAGGTGTTTTGAGTATCCGGCCCCAGTCCTGTCGAATTAACGGCATCGTCCAACCCGGTTACCGCCCCACGTTAGCTGATGAGTATTCAGCTCAACACACTGGAGAGACGTTGAGGAAGTCACGAATGCGTAAAGGTCTAACTTCAACTATACAAAACATACGCCTGGCAACGGTTCAGACAATATCTAAATCTCTACGTTACTCGACTTAATTGGCACAGAATTCACTATGTTAACACATGAGCACTGATATTCACCAAAATTGACTAAGTTAAACTGAATTAATAGGCGGCGGGAACACACGTTAACATACCTGGAGAGACGTTGAGGAAGTCACGAATGCGTGATTCTCCCTCGTGTAGAGGTATATACGTGCACCTGCTGGGCAGCTTGGGCCTCCCTATTCATACCAGAAGGGTCGATCTTACCAACAACATAACTTCTCTATCATTTTGGATCACTGTAGACTTAGTTATGAACTCCGGTGTTCTTGATCAGGGTAATTTCCTATGTCTATTCATATAATCTAATCAGAGGTTGAGCTTGCCAGGAAAAGGTGGAATATACACGTCGATAACATTAATTCTGCAAGCTCAGGCCTGAGGCGAACAAGGGGCTATTCACGGGGAGGCGCTAGATCTTGGAGATTATACCAGTTGACAGAATAGTTCAGGAGATTAATGACTTTCTCAAATAGACAACTGACACTAATTAAACTATAAACATCAGATTCTCTGATGTTGGGGCGACAAAATGATATAACTTCAGGCGCGATCAGAAACTCATGGATACCCCCACGGACGACATAAAATACGCCGCTCTAGCTGGCAAACTCGACACTCACTTACTTGACACGTTCTACTAACGATAAGGACAGTTGAAGCATTCTACCCCACTCACAATGGATCTTGAATGTTCCAACTGTAAACAGACATATCTAAGTTGACTCAAAACAAAGGTGTTCTCTCTCACACTCACATTCATTTTATAGA